CTGGGATTGAGCCCCACATCAGGCTCCCTGCTCCGCGGAAAGCCTGCTTCTCCCTCTCCCACTCCCCCTGCTTGTGTTCCCTCTCGCTGTCTCTCTCTCTGTCAAATAAATAGATAAAATATTTAAAAAAAAAAAAAAAGAGGAAGGTAGTGAACCATGGGTATACTATATTCCAATTTGTGTAAATAAGTAGGAGGAATGTATATATTCATAATACATGGTGTGTTTGCACAGGAGTCAGTGGTGGAAAGATTACCTTTTTTCACATGGGTCTGTTTTACTCTTTAAAAAAATTTAAAAAATATATATATATATACACATATATATACTAAGAGAAGTATGACACTTAAAGGCATCTGTCTCAAAACTAGGATTAAGACTGCTAATTGTTAAATTACATCAGTTTGCTTAAAGGAAACTCACATTTTCCAGTAGGGCTTCTATCTTTCTTTATACAGGCTGATTTAAGACTGAGTTCTGCAAATTTGCATGAAGGAAAGTGCTGTGGATAAGAAAAATGCCATTTCAAAACTCTGATTTGTTAAATGGGGTACTATCAACTAGACTACCAAGACTTACTTACTTTCTTCCTTATGTTAGTCAGTTGATACAAAGTAATGACTTTTATACCTATACTGTAGACTCGAAGTGCATATAAACTATCAGTACCCGGTCACCTTATTAAATATTTGGTGGGTGGGAGCAGAGCAGGACAGGCATAGAAATTTCAAATAATTGCAAAACCCATCCTGCTTTTAGAACACAGTCAAAAGCCTATTTTCTTCATGGTAAGCCAGGGGGTAAGGTATGGCTTATTATTAGATGCCCAGTTAAGTATGCATTCTAGTTGTAGGATAAGGAAAAATGGATACTAATTAGATCATTTGTGGACAGAAGTGACTTCTCAATTTGTTCTTTCAAATTTTCAAGGTTTTTTTTTTTCAGTTAATCACCGAATATTAATTATATTCAACACAAAATCACTCTTGAAATACTTTCTTCATTTGGTTTTCAGTGAAGGCTACACTTCTCATTTTCTCTTACTGGCTATTTTGTCTCCTGCCATTCTTTCAGCAATGTCTTTGTGATCTTGAGCAGGTAACTTAATCACTGTGGACCTCGTAACGATAAATGACGTTTTTAGCATAGTCTTCGCTCCCTAAATGGTAATTCTTGTATAACGTTAATTGTTACTACCACAAAGACAGCTCCGTGCGCCTGCGTGCCCGCTCTGAAACAAACCCACCCACACCTCGGAAAGGGCGAGCGGCAATGAGAATGCGGTGGAGGGGAACTGGGCAACGCTTTCCACGGCCGGAGCCAGGCTGGCAATCCTGGTCGAGTTCTCCACGCCCTCGCGCTGCTTAGCCCCGCGGAGCTGGAAGACAAGGCAGAAGGCTAGAATCCAGAAAAAGCGCCGTCTTCCGTGAGGGAAGCGGAACCCATGACAACGCCCCAACGACTTCCGGCTTGGCGCACCTTTCCTTCAGCTCTATAACTGCACTTTCGATAAAAACATGGTGATTAACGTAACATAATAAAATAAAATTTAAAAAAAATGGAGTCCAATATTTCCCTCAGGCACCTCTATAGTTTCTTTATTTTCCCCTCTTTATGGCTCGATTTGACGATAAAGATTAAGTTGGAGGGATTATTGATAGGCGTGGCTACGGAAAAGAAGAGCATTTAAGCCGGCTTGACGAAAGTGCGGAGCGGAAGTACCTGGTGCCCTCTCCCTCCGGCCGGAAGTTACGGGACTGAATGGATCCCGGAGCCGGCTGCCGCAGCTCCTCAATTTTCCTCTGAGGCTTGGCGGCCGCTGGGCCACCAGGTTCATGTGGAGGCTCCCAGGTTCCCGCGCCGCGCTTCGTGGGGTCCGCACGGCGGTGGAGCGGCACACTCGGGCCGAGGCGGCGACTGAGACAGCGGGCGCCATGGAGCGCGCTGTAGTGCGCTGTGTGCCCTCGGAGCCTAAGCTAAGCCTGTCGTTCGCGCTGGCCGACGGCAGCCACAAGAACATGCAGCGAGACCAAAGCGAGCCGCTGGGTCGGGCCCTCAGCCGGATAGCAACGAATGCCCTCAAAGGTCACGCTAAGGCGGCCGCCGCCAAAAAGAGCAGGAAGAACCGGCCAAATGCAGGTGGCGGCGTGGCCTGTGCGGGGCCTGGGCCCGAGCCGGCTGCGGCCTGCGAGCCCGTGGTGAAGCTGTACTACCGGGAGGAGGCAGTGGCTGAAGACGTGCTCAACGTGGACGCCTGGCAGGACGGCGCGGTGCTGCAGATCGGCGATGTCAAGTACAAGGTGGAGCGCAACCCGCCCGCCTTCACCGAGCTTCAGTTGCCACGCTACATCATGGCCGGTTTCCCGGTGTGCCCCAAGCTCAGCCTCGAATTTGGGGATCCCGCCAGCTCCGTCTTCCGTTGGTACAAGGAAGCCAAACCCGGAGCGGCAGAGCCTGAGGGTGGGGGCCCCTCGTCATTGTCTCCCTCTTCACCCTCTCCCAGTTGGACGGAGACGGGTGTGAACGAGCGCGTCTACACGCCGTCCAATGCCGACATCGGGCTCCGACTCAAGCTTCATTGCACCCCAGGCAATGGGCAGCGCTTCGGGCCCAGCCGGGAGTTGGAAAGTGTGTGTCCCGTGGAGGCTGGGCCTGGCACCTGCACCTTTGACCACCGGCATCTCTACACCAAGAAGGTGACGGACGACTCTCTCATCCGCACGGTCTCTTACAACCTCCTGGCCGACACGTACGCCCAGACTGAGTTTTCGAGGAGTGTCCTGTACCCGTACTGTGCCCCTTATGCCCTGGAACTCGACTACCGCCAGAACCTTATCCAGAAGGAGCTCACGGGCTACAACGCTGACCTCATCTGTTTGCAAGAGGTTGATCGCAGCGTGTTTACAGACAGCTTGGTGCCGGCCCTCGAGGCCTTTGGGCTGGAGGGCGTGTTTAGAATCAAGCAGCACGAAGGCCTGGCTACTTTCTACCGAAAGGCCAAATTCACTCTCCTTAGCCAGCATGACATTTCTTTCCACGAAGCCCTGGAGTCCGACCCACTTCACAAAGACCTGCTGGAGAAACTCGTTTTGTACCCGTCTGCGCAGGAGAGGGTGCTCCAGAGATCTTCTGTCCTCCAGGTAAAGTACCTCTGCCGTTCTCTTTACATACTCGTCGATTTTTAGGGCCCTGGAAGATTTTTTCAGATTTTACTGAAGGGTGTTTGCTCTTGTATCTTCAACACAAAGGTTAGCTTTCATTCATTCACTGAGCAAATACTTGCTGAGCACCTTTAGTGTGCCAGGCACGTTTGAACAAGACAAACGGACTTTCATAGTGCTTACCATCTCGTGGGAAAGACGCATGCTGAATACAAGAACATAGTAATTAATTAATGTTTTCTTACTACTTGCCAAGCACTGTTCTGACACATTAAAGCACTTAAAATTTAATCACTAAATTCTATTCATGATATTAATATTACAGTGTATGTTAACTAACTGGAATTTAAATAAAAACTCAAAACAGAAAAAAGTACTTAATAATTGTGTCTGACATATTTAATGAAGTATTCCACAAATATTAATATTTTAATTTTGGTCAGAGTAATCCTATTTTTACAGATGTTATTCTTCCCATTTTATATATGGGGAAATTGTCAAGTTTACTTATCCAATTTCACACAAGTGTGGAGCCAGGATTCTTCTTGCCCAGTTACTTATATATTACATCATCCCTGAGCAGGGTGTTAAGCTGCCTTAGTTTTTTTTGTTTTTTGGTTGGAGAGAATTTTTTAAAAATATGTTATTTGTATATTTGTCCAGAGTTTTTAGGTAACTGATTTTGTTCATAGTAAGATTTTGGAGTAGCTACCTTTTTTTTTTTTAAGCACCCAGTGTGTTTCATGCACCTCTGTGTAAGTTCATTTGGTTGAATCCATACAACAGTCCCCCTTGAGGTGGATGATAGTGTCTTTAACCAGTGACCAAGCTGACTTAGGAAAACAGTGTCTCTCTCCAGGTCACACTGCTATAAAATGGTTAAGAATGGGTATTCCATCTAGGCGGGACTGACTCCAAAGCCTGCCTTTACCCACTTAAAAACACCAACCTTAATGTTGTTCTCTAAAATAATATCCTTAACTTCCTCTATGTTGGACTGTTGTTAAAACATGTTATGCTGAATCCTGTTCATGTGTATCGTGAAACTTGTAGCAAAAGTTGAATTTCATAATTGCAATTATACTTTTCAGACAGGGAAGGTTATGAAATGTCAGTTCATCATGTAGTCTTGAATTTAAAAAAAGAAAAACATTCAGGAGATTGACAGCAACTGAACTCTTGGCCCTTTGTTTATTTTAGGTTTCTGTTCTTCAGTCTACAAAGGACTCTTCTAAAAGGATATGTGTTGCTAATACCCATCTCTACTGGCATCCAAAAGGTGGGTTTTAGTGGTTTTCACAAGTGATGTAAACATGGTAACTTAAGGTCAGTAAGGCTGTTTTACACACATCTTTTTTATTTCTTTCAGTTTTATTGAGATATAATTTCATAACCGCATCAGGTTTAAAGTGTACAGCACAGTGATTTACATATATTGCAAAATGATTGCCATAATAAGTTTAGTTAACATCCCTCACCTCAGATCTGCAAAAATGTTTTTCCTTGTATGAGAACTTTTAGGATCTACTCTTAGCAACTTTTAAATATACCATATATCATTGTTAACTGTGGTCATTATGTTTCTATAGTTTCTATAACTGAAATGTTTCTTTTTTACCTTTGGGCCACCTTCATCCGGTTCCCCTCGTCCAAATATATATGTTGAATGTCACCCAGATACTGTATGTAGTTTGTGGGCTTTTTTTTTCCTTCTTAAAGGCAACTTTTAAAAGTACTTACATTAATGTTTTTTATATTCACAGGTGGGTACATTCGTCTCATTCAAATGGCAGTAGCCTTGGCTCACATTCGACATGTCTCGTGTGACCTGTATGCTGGCATACCGGTTATATTTTGTGGAGACTTTAATAGTACCCCATCAACAGGAATGTATCATTTTGTTGTCAATGGCAACATCCCAGAGGATCATGAAGACTGGGCTTCCAATGGGGAAGAGGAACGGTGCAACATGTCCCTTACCCATTTCTTCAAACTGAAAAGTGCTTGTGGTGAACCTGCTTACACAAATTACGTTGGTGGCTTTCATGGATGTCTGGATTACATTTTCATTGACTTAAATGCTCTAGAGGTTGAACAGGTGATTCCATTACCTAGTCATGAAGAAGTTACCACCCACCAGGCCTTACCTAGTGTTTCCCATCCCTCTGATCACATAGCACTTGTATGTGATTTAAAATGGAAATAGACTTACGTTTAATGGAATTTAAGTCTGCTTTAGTAGGAAATCTAATATGAATCACAGCTTATGTATAACCATTAAAGAGGAAAACTAGACAGATACAAAGGCAAAATGTTGTTACTCTACTAGTTACGTTCCGGTGTCTTCATTACACAACTGTTCATATTTGTAGTTTCTCCACTTTTCTTTTTTCCTATGGTTGAAGGAAAAACATATATTTATGACTCCCAGGAAGAACATTGAATTATTATGTACATTTTTATAAGTACCTTTTTTTTAGATAGGAATTAAGAATTTTGTAAGAAAAAAAAAAAACCATTTGAATGATTCTTTTAATTTTTCTACCATAACACATTTCAAATTGAATTATGTTTATATAATTAGGGAAAAATGCATACAGGTTAAAGTGAGAGGCCTAAGTCTGACACATGAAAGGAGTAACATTAGAGTCTACCTCTACCTCAATTTGGCTAGAATTTAATACAACTTCAGAGCTTTAACAGAAGATTAAAATATGCCATCACCAATTGTTAATTGCTTCTCATCTTTAATTTTTCAGTTAACATAAGGTATTATCATACTTTTGTTTTTAGGATTTTACTTTTTAGTATATGGTTCAAATGGACATTTAAATTCTTATTACTGCAGCTCATTTGAACTTTTAGGATGCAAGCACAATTTAGTGTTCAAAGTGAATAACAACATATTCAACTTGATCCCATTTTCTTGCCCATGAAAAATGTTCATAAATCAATAGAGTATTTGACCGTATGATACTACAGAATGCAGCATGATAAATTACTTTATGAGAAACTGCCTACTGATATGGGCTTGACATTTTGGGTGAACCACTGAGCATTTCTTTGCTGGAAGAATTTTTGAAATTGTTGGTTTTTATAAATAGAAGGGGGATTTGTGGGGCTTTTGAGCATTTCTGAAACAAACCGTTCTTTTTA